GAGAGAGAGAGAGAGAGAGAGAGAGAGAGAGAGAGAGAGAGAGAGAGAATTTTTTAATATTTATTTTTCAGTTTTCGGTGGACACAACATCTTTATTTTATTTTATGTGGTACTGAGGATCGAACCCAGTGCCCCGCCAGGCAAGCACGATACCGCTTGAGCCCCATCCCCATCCCAGAAAATGATTTTTTTTCTCTTTTAAGGCTGAGTAATATTCCATTGTGTATATACAGCACATTTTCTTTTCTTTTTCTTTTGTTCTTCACAGGCAAGGCTTTAATTTCAGAGTGAGTTTTATGATTTAGGGTTTCCAGTATGTAAGCAGTTTGAAGAGACGTTCTTGAATCTCTCACTCTTTCTGCTTGTATAATATAGGCACATTCAACATGTAGCACATTTTCTTTATCCATTCATCTACTGAAGGGCATCTCAGTTGGTTCCACATTTAGCTATTGTGAATTGTGCTGCTATAAACATTGATGTGGCTGTGTCCCTGTAGTATGCTGTTTTTAAGTCCTTTGGGTATCGACTGAGGAGCAGGATAGTTGGGTTAAATGGTGCCTCCATTCCCAGTTTTCCAAGGAATTTCCATACTGCTTTCCATGTTGGCTGCACCAATTTGCAGTCCCACAAGCAATGTATAAGTGTACCTTTTCCCCACATCATCTCTAACACTTATTATTGTTTTTATTCTTAATGGATGCCATTCTGACTGGAGTGAGATAAAATCTTAGCGTGGTTTTGATTTGCATTTCTCTAATTACTAGAGATGTTGAACATTTTTTTCATATGTTTGTTGACTGATTGTATAACCTCTTCTGAGAAGTGTTTGTTCAGTTCCTTGGCCCTTGTATCGATTAGTTTGTTTGTTTATTTATTTATTTATTTTTGGGTGTTTAACTTTTTGAGTTCTTTTTATATATAACTATATATATATATATATATAGTTATATATATACAACTTTTTGAGTTCTTTATATATATATATAAATTTTTACCATTCACACATCAGATAGATCACTAATCTAGCTGATGTGTGAATGGTAAATTGTGATTAGTGATCTATCTGATGTGTGAATGGTAAAAATTTGCTCCCAAGATGTAGATCCTCTGTTTACCTCACTGATTGTTTCTTTTGCTGATAAAACTTCAAAAGCTGAAAATATTGTAATTTTGTGTTGATTAGCTCTTCATTTCTAGGACAAAATACCTGAGAAAAGTAACTTAGGCAGAAGAGTTTATATTGGCTCATCATTTGAGTTCAGTAGGCATCAATTCAGAAACATGGCAGAAGGGTGTGCAGGAAGAAAGAGGCTCAGCTCATGGCAGTCAGAGAGGGAGTGTGAGCAGGGAGGGGACCAGGACAAGATCAATCTTTCCAGCGCATTCCCCCTGTAACCCACTTCCTCCAACAAGGCCTACACCTTCCACCACCTTCCAACAATGTCATCAAACAGAAGTCCCTCAAAGGATTAATCCATTGATGAGGTAGAGCCCTTGTGATCCAATCACTTCCCCCAATCCCCAAGTCTTTGGAGGACATTCTAGCTCCAAACTTTAACAAAGTTGAAATGCATTTAATAAGCCTACACTACCAAACATCTTAGCTTAGCCGCACAGCACACCATGGAGTCTCCCTGGTTTCCCCTTGTGATCCTGTTGCTGACTAGCAGTTGTGGTCTGAGAAAGTCAGATTGTGCTGCCTATTGATAGTCAGAGAAAAGATCAAGATGCAAAAATTGAAACATTATAAATTATTATAAGAGACGATCTTCAAACCATTTTATATAATGATGAGAGTTACCATGATATTTATCAGAGCCTGCACTGCTTTACATATATGATCCTACCTGACTTCCTCAAATTTTATAGGGGGAGGGAATAGTCTACACATTTTATTGATAGCAACAAATAAAAAAAACAGTTACAACTAAGATTTTTATGGACGAGGCAATCATCTGAGTGGTTTGCACAATTATCTGATTGAATTCCCAAAACATTCCTGGGAAATAGGTCTCATTGTCTTTTACATAAGACAGAATGAGGCAGAAAGGGTCCAGTGAGCTGGTCACCCAGCTCCTAGGGGCAGCAACCTTGGAAAGACTGATGTAACCCTGGGTCACCTGCCTGGAGAGCATTTGATGTGCTGTACTGCACACGCTGGAGGGTGAACAAGGAGATACCGTGCACCCGTTAATATCACCCTCCAGGGATTTACAGAGGCTAAGACTCAAACACAAACAGCAGGGCTTTATGGAGCTCAAGGCCAGGAAGCCTACATGTGCCTGGGGTGTGCAGGACTTCTGGAAGGTGGATTTGACTCAAGACCAGCGAGAACCCCATTTGTAGCTGCCTCTAGAACAGAGGATAGGGCATAATTCAGATTGTTTCTAGAATCTCTGTGTTAAAATGTCCCTATGATTCAGTGAAAGTATGACATTTCCTCTGAAGCTACCAGGAAGGGCAGAAGAAACAAATGTCCACACCACTCTCACGCTTGCTACACAGTGGGATTGCTAAGGTTGGGATGCGGCTTGCTTAAGAGTTACTTGGGTGGGGCAGCCAAGCTCCCAAGATCTGGGTGTTGCCTACAGCAACTGGGATCCTCTTTCCTTGTGCCCCAGGACAGCTCCAAAATGCTCTTCCAGTGCTGGTGGGCTGTGAGAAGCTGGCACAGACAGAGGAGGCACAAGTGTACCTTGGTGTTGGCCTCAGAAGAGTTATGCAGCTGCCAAGCTTCTAATCGTATGTTTTTTAATCAACCCGACATGGCCATTAAAAGCAAGATTACCTACTGGGCATTTCTGCAGTTCCAGTTCTTTTAGGACGAGATGCTGGATCTTGAATGTCAAGGCAGGTAGATTGGATCGTGCTGGTACAGGATGGACCCTTCACTTAATGATTGCTGTCCTTATAAAAGGGAATTATGGACCCAGCAGCATACCCAGAGAGAACCTTGGAGGACAGAGATGGTATAGGAGAAGAGAAGGTGTCCAGGGAGAGGGAAAATACACATGACAATTAGGAATAAGAGAAGTGCAAAGATTAGGGAGGGGCTTAGGAGTAACCTGGTGTCTTGATTTGCTTGGGCTTTGGGAGCCAGGGGCTACAGTCAGGGAGACTTAGAAATCGTGCTGTCTTGGTTCTGAAGGTTGGAGTCTGAGGCCAAAAGTGAGCAAGATTAAGGAACTGAACAGGCACTTCACAGAGGAAGAAATACGATCGTCAACAAAATATGAAAAAAAGTTCATCATCTCTAACAATTAGAGAAATGAAAATTAAAACTACGCCGAGAGTCCATCTCACTCCAGTCAGAATGGCAACAATTAAGAATATAAGGAACAATAAATATTGGTGAGGATGTGGGGGAAAAGGTACACTCTACATTGCGAATGGGACTGCAAATTGGTGCAACCACTCTGGAAAGCAGTATGGAGATTCCTTAGAAAACTTGGAATGAAACTACCATTTGACCCAGTTAGCCCACTCCTTGGCATATACCCAAAGGACTTAAAATTAGCATACTATAGTAATGCAGCCACATCAATGCTTATAGCAGCTCAACTCATAATAGCCAAGATATGGAACCAAACTTTGTGCCCTTCAACAAATGAATGGATAAAAAAAAAATGTGGTACATATACACAATGGAATTTTACTCAGCTAAAAAAAGGAAAACGAAATATGCATTTGCTGGTAACGGATAGAGCTGGAGAACAAGGTAAATAAGCCAGTCCTCCCAAAACCAAAGGCCAAATGTCCTCTCTGATATGCAGATGCTAACACATAATAAGGGGCAGGGAAGATTGGAAGTTCGTTGGATTAGACAAAGGAGAATAAAGAAAAGGGAGGGAGGATGGGAATAGGAAAGACAGCAGAATGGACTGGACATAACTCTTCTAAGTTTATATATGAATACATGACTCGTGTAACTCCACATCACGTACAACCTCAAGTATGGGAAGTTATACTCTACAGATGTATAATGTGTCAATAGACTGTCATGTATATCTAAAAAGAATAAATTAAAAAGGAAGAAAGGAAGGAAGGAAAGAAGGAAGTCAGGAAGGAAGAAAAGAAACAAGTGAGCATACTTGGTTCCTCCTAGAGTTGTGAAAGAGAACCTGCCCCCCCGTGGTTCTTTCCTGGCTTCTGGTGGTTGTTGGTCATCTTTGGGGTTCACTTGTCTGGCCGTTGCACCACCCTGATGGCTGTCTTCATCCCTGCATAGTGTTCCCTGTGTGTGTGTATTGCCCGGGTCTGGCTGGGCAAAATAACCAGGGGGTGACAAGCAACTTGTAAAGGTTGAAACAGCAGGAGCCGCTTTATTACGGGACAGCAGAGGTATATATACTTAACTAATTACACACAGCTTAACTTAATTAACATCATCTAGATACAGCAGTCAGTCATTAAGGAATCCTCATCATCCTAATGACTCGCTGGTGTTACTTCACAAACCACTCCTCCTGGCAAAGTTCCAGGCACTATCTTGACTTGATTGTGGCCCTCAACAGTGTATGGTGTGTGTGTGTGTGTGTGTGTGTGTGTGTGTGTGTGTCCAAACTTCCCTTCCTATCAGGATTGCAGCCATGTTGGATTAGGCCCAGTCTCTACCTGCATGATGTCATCCTCACTGATGACATCTGCAGTGACCATTATTTATAGTAGATTTTTAACAACTCTAATTCTTCGAAAGTGCATAATGGCATATTTCTAGAAAATGTGGTAGTAATCAGAATGTGAAGACTAATAATTTTAACTACCAAAAGGTAAAGAAAATGTTGAGTTACTGGATCTCCAAAAGTGAATGATTACAGTTTTTCCTCATGTACAAAAGATAAGAAATTAGCTGTGCACAGTGGTGTACGCTGTATTCCCAGCTTCTGAGGAGATCGAGGCAGGAGGATTGCAGGTTCAAGGCTATCCTGATCAATTGGGCAAGATTTTGTCTCAATATGAAATAAAAAGGGCTGCAAGTATAGCTCAGTGACAGAGCACCTGCCTAGCATGCGCGTGGCCCTGGGTTCAATATCCAGTACCGAGGGGGGGGGAGAGAGAGAGAGAGAGAGAGAGAGAGAATAAATGAGGTACTGGATAGACTTTTCTTAATTTTTATTTATTCTTCTTTAACTCATTTTTTACTTACTGGCTAGAAAGTACTAGAAAACATCCAAACGAACCAAAGCTCACAAAATCTTACTATCTTGGAGCTTTTTTCTCACACTAAGGACAATTACTACCCATCAGCTGAATCTCACAGTGTCCCACAGGGAGCACCGTGGCATCCAAGAGCTCTGCAGCCACTCTCCCCGAGAGCCTCGGCAGTTCTGTAAGCCGCTGCACACGGAGGGGACAAACATGCACATCTCCCTGGGCTTCTCCCGTCATCCAACCCAACCAGTCTACCATTCTCATCTTATTTCTGATGTCCATGCACACCAGACGTTGAATTGTGCTCCCCCAAATTCACATGTTGAAATCCTAACCCCCATTACCTCAGAAGAAGACCTTGTTATGTTGGCTCTCGGTTCCAGAAGTTTCGGTCCATGGTTGACCAGCTCCATTGCTCTGGGTCTGAACATCATGGCAGACAGTGTGGTAGAAGAAACCACTCAGCTCAGTGTAGTCCAGAAGCAGAGAGAGAGAGAGAAGGGGTGGGGCCAGGATAGGATAAACCTTCCAGGGTAAGCCCCTAGTGGCCTACTTCCTCTAAGTCCCACCTTCCAATAATCCATCCTGATTACTAATCCTTCAAATATATCAGTACACTGACGAGGTCAGAGCCCTCATGAGTCAGTCTTCTCCTAAAAGCCCTACCTCTGGACGTTGCTGCTTTGGGAACCCAGTCTTTAACACATGAGCTTTTGGGAGCACATCCCAGATGCCAACGTAGCAACTAAGCATTTCGGTTACATACTTGAAAGTATCAGAGCAGTTATCGCTAAGGGGAAGGCTTGTGAGTTCTATTTTATGACATATAATAATAAGCATCTACTACCTTGGGGCCTTTCTTGAACAAGCACCCTCCTCACTATCTGGACCCCACACCAGTTGTGAAACACGACTAAACAGCAATGCAGACAAGCTTGCCTGCAGTTCTCCTCCAAGGGCCCTTGTGTTCAAGGCTTGGCTCTAGCGTGATGACGTTGGCAGGTGGCACCTTTAAGAGATAGGACCTAGGGAGAGGTGTTTAGGTCCTGGAGGACACTAGCCTTGGAAGTAAACCACCCAAATATTGAAACATTTTTTATTAAGTGCCAACATCTCAACATTTTCTCAATTTGCTGTTTTTCTTAAAATTATCATATATTCACAGCTTTATTAGATATACCTAAGTGGATTTGATCGTATGGTTCCCTCTCCCTTTTTTTGGGGGGGGGGAATGGAAGGTTCTAAAGTGACTATAAAAATAGGACCTGTGTAGGCAAATGACCTTAACAGTTCAATATAGGTCTGTTAATTTCTGTTTCAAATTTCCCCAGAACTTCTCAGGTGTCTCAATTCTGCCGTCACTAGATTCTCTAGGTGGCTGGATACCTCCCTGTTACTGCTTCTGTGCCTGTTTTCAGCAAATGCTAACCTTTCTTAATTGTTGCTTCTAATGTGCCATGAAATAGGGAATCAGAAAACTAAGCTTGTAACAATAGTTTCTGAAAGAAATCAGAGCTAAGCTTTCTAAGAGGCTTTCCCATGAACAGTGTGCATAATAAAAGCACTTGGGGGGGTCGTGTGCATTTCCTTGGGGAGCCTATGAACTGAGCATATGTAGGTTGGCTACCAGAGGTGCAGTCAGCTAATTATCAGTTTCTGATCTGTTTTTCTGTCCACAAGACTTTGAGCTCTGATTGCAGGTGTTGTATCTTTCCAATAAAGATATGAAATAGCTATCATTTCCTGTGCACCTACTATGTGCCGGGCATCACCACTCCTTTCCTCCGAAGAGACACGGCCCACAGAGTGCATTCAGTAGAGTGTCTGGCATGTAATCTCCAGCTCAAATGTTTGTGAAATGAAAAACTTGAATCATGCTTGTCACTGCATGCGTCTCCCTGCAACACTGCAATAAAAGGGCAGGGCATTCGCCTCCGATTCTCAGGAACAGAAACCACTAACAAATGTATCTTGTTAGTCTGCTGTCAGGAGCAAGATTTTTATCAGGAATGTTGTATTTCTGAAGACACCAGAATAATTTCCTCCTAATAAATTTCCATCTTATTCAGAGAAGCAGAGATTCTGCCAGGAGCTCCGGCCTCCTGGGGGTAGGGCTCCGGCAGCTTTGTACTTCTGGATTAGATGTGTGTGCACGTTTGTGCAGGACCAGGGCGAACCCAGCCCTGAAAGGCGCATTGGGCATTAAGCAGGAACGTGGGGATGCTCCCAGCTTGGGCACAGGTTCCAAGCACTTCTTTAGAGGACCTGAAACGTGGTGCTAATGGGCTGTCTTCCCTGCTGGAAGTGGGTTTGCCTGCTCGTTTCTTCTTGCCAAGGGAGGAGGTGATTTTTTTTTTTCTTATGTCAATTTCAGATTTGATTCATAGAAGTTTGAAATGGTGTTAATGTTACATGGTTTAATTTTTTTTTCCTTTTTAGGTTTTCTCATAAATTCTCCATTCGCTCTAGTACCCACTCCAAAACTCAGCCAAGGAGGGAATTTCTGAAGGTCTTTGTGATTCCCATGAAGGGTACGTGAGAGAGGTTTAATTGTTCAACGTGGATGGTATTTCTTTAAATAGATAATAACACGCTCAGGCTCTGCCTTCTTTCCTCTGCTCACTGCCTCTCCCCAGTTCTTTCACAAACAGAAGGACAGTCTTCAGCCTTCCCCTCTTTTTACTGAACAATGTTCTACTTTTTTACTGATCCCCAACTATATTTAAACTCTAAATTCTTTTCTCTACCCCCCAGGGATCACCCAGCAGCCTCTTCTGAACAACAGCTAATGAAATGAAAAGAAATGGTGTGGATTATTATTTTTTTTCCCCACAAAGAAATACCATCTCTGTCTGCAAACGAATTCCATTTGTGATTTAGAGAGGCATGGCACCTGCCCCCAGAACTTCCCCGGGGAGAGGATGAATGGCCATCTCAATATTGCATAAAAATTAGTTATCAGGCCACAAATTATCAGACCCTATAAGGGATTACTTTTAAGTAAATTAAGGTTATATATCACAACCTTCCAAGAGGCTTGGATGTTTTGAATCTTCCAAATGAAGAGAACATTTAAGATTTCCTGACATCTAATTCGGAATATGATTAGAAGACAGGACTTGGTTGTCACAAACCCATTGTATCTTTGGTGGCAGCTTCACTTTAAAAAAAAACAATAGACATGAGAGGATGGATCTTATAATTGAAGGATTTTCAGTAAAGAAAAGGGATCCCACAGTTAGCAAATCATACTCTGCAAGCCCACCAGTTCTCAGTACACCAGACCAGCAGGAAATTCAAGAGAAGGAGCTATTGTGTGCTTGTCTGCTTGCATGAAATTGTGAGAGTGTGTGTGTGTGTGTGTGTGTGCGCGCACGTGTATTTCAAGCCACGCAAGGGCAGTTCAGATTTCCTCCAGCTAGACATAACTGTGTTTATGTTCCACATCTTTATTTCTTCGGTAATCAGGTTTAAGCTAAATTTTATTGTGTTTTCTACATCTTTCGAGTGGTAAGTTGATATTAAACTCCAGCATTGGTGGAATGTTGAGGAAATCTCTATGTTACCAATCAGCACAGAAATGACACATTTTACATTTGATCTTATCTTCATCAAAACTTGAGCCCTAAGTGGAAAGGCTGCCTCCTCAGGACGAGTGGCGACCTTCAGGGAGGTTCTTGAACTCTCTGTAATGACTCCCCTCTGGATCATCCTTTCTGCACTTCCCTGTCCCAGGGGAGGTGCCACCCTCATTTTCCTATTGAGACGTTTACTGAGGAACGTGCCCGTCAGCTGATGGGTTGAGTTTCAGATTCTAAATGGAAGATGGTCCCTACAGCTGCTCACCTCTTAGAATAATTTTTTTTTTTAAAGAAAGATGAGTTGAATGTACTCAAGGTGCCCTTGTTCTGTCTTTGCCCCGTCCTACCACCTCACCCACCTGAAAGTCTGTCCCTCCTGGACTTGCTGCCCCAGTCCACCCTGGATGAGAGAGAAGACCCTGGGCTGGGAGCAAAGACGCACATGTCCTACTTCCAGATCTGCCACTAAGGGACAAGGCTAAACCACACAATGCCCAGTCCCGTGCACTTCCTCCTTCCCTCCTGACCATGCCCCATGGAGCAGGTGCAGTTGGTCTTCAGCACCTGCAGGGAGGGCTGCCAGGACCCCACGACCACATTCTGCAGTTGCTCCAGTCAGTATATAAAATGGCGCAGCATTTGCATTTTACCTATGGAGATACTCGGAATACTTTAAATCACCTCTAAGTTACTTATATTAAGCCATGTAACACTAAAGCCCTATAAATCGTTGTTATACCATATAACTGAAGGAATGACAACAAAGAAAAAACTCTGTATATGTTTGGTGCAGATGAAAAATTTTTCCACTTATTTTCAGTCCAAGGTCGGTTGAGTCTGTGGATGTCGACTTCACATACAGAGATGGCCAGTCGTACTAGCCCCACTGCAGACTGTGAAAATGAGGCCTAGAGATATGACATCATTTGCTCCATAGAGGAACTAGGATCTGAACCCAGATCTCAGCCCTACTTTCTTTGTCTGTTAGATGAGAGGGTTGAGTGGATTTTCAGTTTCTTCCAGTTGTGCTATTTTACGATAGTTTGTGTCTCTTTCTCTAGTTTGTTGGACAATTTTTACAAAAGAAGCCCAAACACTTGCTGTTATCTGCGCGTGCAGCTCCATGCTGAGGTTGGGCAGGACTCCACGCGGGTATAATATTTCAAGCAGAAGATGTTAACACAAATACTAAACAAAATATAGCTAGAACATTTCCCCCATTCCCAACAGCAAAATATTAATGGTGGGATTCCAGGAATTTTTTATTCTTAATTTATGCCTGCCTGCTCAAAATACATACCACGTTTTGGAAATATTGCTTTCCCAAAAGTTCTGTTATAGAATCGGGTGCAGTATTTATTCATTTTGTTAAAAAAAAAAAAAAACCTCTCTGCACTTAGGAAAAAATAAAATCTGGAAAGTGAGTTAGTACCATTATCTTTGGGTGGTCAGGGGCTGTTGTCACATACACTATTTTCATGAATTTATATGACTTTTGTAAAAAGAAGATTAAAGAACAACAAACAATTAAAAAAAGCAACAACAAATAAAAACTATTTCTATGCTATCTAAAATCCTTACCACTTCTACCTGAGGAAGGAAACAGGGTGAGGGGTGGGCTGGAGGTGGAGCAGGGGAGATTCCTTTGAGATTGAACCTACGCGGCCCAGATTTCCAATGTGCTTACTTGAGGATTGGGAAGATGGAGACAGTCTTGTTGAGGTTTCTTCCAGGATTTTTTCTCCAGAGGACTTTTTCCCAGGGCAGCTGATGGCCTGAAAATGAGGTTATAGAGCCTATACCTTCTTTTAATTGCACTCTATGGCTCCACTCTCCCTTTTCCAGAATTCTGAAATCCAAATGACTGTGCGAATTGGTAACTTTCTACAAAACTCAATTTTATTGGTCTGTAAAACTTAACCTTTTAACAACTGTCCTCACCCACATAGTGTGATAACCAATATGTCTC